AGAGAGAGAGAGAGAGAGAGAGAGAGAGAGAGAGAGAGAGAGAGAGAGAGAGAGAGAGAGAGAGATGGGAGAATAAGAGGGATGAAGTGGAATGAAATGAGACTGGGAGTCTGGGAGCATCTACCTCCATTCTCGGACCATTCACACATCCAACGGCAGCTTTCCAATTCCCGGCAAAAGTTTCTGCCTGCCAGTTGGTCGTCAACCACACTCCCCGTGGGTCCTTGATCGCTGCCGCCGCCTCAGTTTTTTCCGATTGCTGCTGTTGCACTCGACCATCTGCAGGGTTTGCTCTCGTCGAAATGTCGGCCGCACTTCCTTGTATGAATTCTGGGTCATGGTAAGGTTTAGCAGCAATAACAAACGAAGCCTCATAGGGTATAAAGAAGAATGGTCGGCGATGGCCATCTGGAGGCATGGGCACATTCTCTCCTCTCGAGGAGCGTTTCTGATTCGAGAGCTCCCTCCGCCGACGCTCCATCATCATAGCTGATACCTTCATCTCTGCCAAAACTGAGTGCACGTTCAACGGACCTGCATCCACCACAATGCGCCATCCTTATCGACACATCCACAAATCCATCAGACGCTGCGCATGACTGCCTATCGACTGCTCAACAACCCGTCAGGACTTGAACTCGTGACGATCTGTTGCCAGCGGACGAATATGCAATCGTCGATCACCTGCAACCCATCAGGACTTGATCTCCCCATGACGAATGTGCACGTGGTCCATGGGCGATGATAGACGTCCTCCGGAGTGCCTTACTGGCTCAGCAGGTGGTGGGAACCAACAGACTGCAGGGATTCAACCTCCTGATGAGTCGGTGAAAGTCCGACGAAACAGTGACTCACAGTCATGCTTCTGTTTTTCGGAGTTGTGTATAGCAAATATGACCTCTCTCTCTCTCTCTCTCTCTCTCTCTCTCTCTCTCTCTCTCTATACACATCTAGATGTGTATAAGAGACAGCACTCACACTACCACTTCCAAGAATGTATAGAACTGCAATCACGGCCGGAGCTTTGTTTCCTTTTTTTTTTTTTCTTGTTTTGCGAGTTTCACGCCCCCAACTTTTTTTTTGCCTGTTTGTCCCGCGAGAGTACCATAAAGAAAATGGAGTGGGGCCCAGGCTCGGCAAAACTCGGAGCGCAGTGAAAAAAAATCAGGGTCGGCAAAAACAGGCTCGGAGGTACAAGTGGTTTAAAGAATCAGCCTTTAAAAAGAAGAAAAAGGGTTATGGTGGATAGGACAGGGAACCTTTAACTAGTCTCCCGCTGCTCTTTGGCGGCCCTGGCTCGCTGTGATTATCTTATCTCATGATTCTACTTTTTCCTTAGGCTTGATGGTGATAAACAACTGCACTGGTGACCTCCCAGAATTTAAAGGGGGTTGCGTTCTCTTAAAAAAAAAAAAAAAAAAAAAAAAACTCTGGTGATGCTTCAGAGAATGAATCTGGACTCTTTATGGAGCCAGAGACAGACAAGTTATGTATTACTAATTTACTACTATTACATCATTAACACCCTCACGCTTGCGCTGGTTTAGCCCGCTTTAGCCCGCTTAGTCGTCGGCTTTTCATTCCTCAATAGGGCAGCCTAAAAGATGCACACGTCCTCTCCCCTACCCCTGACCTACCTCTCACCTATATCTCTCCTCTCTCTCACCCACCTCTCACCTCCCTCTCACTGATGTTACAGACAGATTTAGTGTAAAAAGTACTAAAAACTTTTTCTAAAAACAATAAAGAGTGGAAAGAAAAAAAAAAGTTTCAAAAAACAATAAAGAGTGGAGACAAAAAAACGCATGCCAGTGGAAAAGGAACCAAACTGCTGCTACGCAGAACAGGAGCAGCTTGGTTTAAAAAAATAATAATAATAATAATAATAAAAATAAAAATAAAAATAAAAAATCATCAAGGTTTCACATCAGCAGACTCAGCACTGGAAAACCAAATGCGACGTAAGCATCTGGTGATCCTGCTTCTTTATTTTTTTCTTCTGTTTTTTTTTTTTGTTTTTGATCCTGCTTGTTGCTTCAGAGAGTGTGTTTGTTCTGTAAGACGGATTCAGTGACGTGTCTTTCAGGACATCCGTTCAAATGGGAATGATACAGAGAGAGAAGATTAGCATGGCCGCTGCACAAGGATGACACACATATATCGAGAAATGGTCCCAAAAAAAAAAAAAGAGATTCAGTGATGTAAGTTGACAACAAGCACAGTCACTGAAACAATCAGCACACAAAAAAAATTAAAAAAAAAATAGAAACGATTCAAAAAGGCTTCAAAAACACTCACCAGGACGTATACGGTACGTTGGAATATCTACTGCTTCCCTCTTCCCAGTGACCCGCTCCTCCTCGAGATCACCCTTCTCCCTGGGGACGTCAGTATTCAAACGTTCGCCTTCATTTGTTCTGCGATAGAGTTGCAAAGAGAAGGGATTTGTAATTCACTCACTCGCAGCGCACAGTCGTTACATCCGGGGCCGTAAATGCCGAGCTCTATTCCATGATCTAGATCCACATTTCATAATTCACTTAAATAAGTTAAATTCAGATAAATGTAAATGCAAAGGTCGCTTGAAGAGACAACCCTCATGCACACAAGCACTGAAAACGAGAGAGAGAGAGAGAGAGAGAGAGAGAGAGAGAGAGAGAGAGAGAGAGAGAGACAGAGTGAGAGACAGAAACAGCCAGAGAGGGACACAGAGACAGACAGAGAGAGACAGACAGAC